TCTGATTCTGGTTCTGGTTGGGGAAGCCGACCTCCTAAGGACCCCAACAGTGGAGCATAATAGGAATGGGTAGAATAGGTTCGAATGATAGGAAAGGCCCACCACCGCAGTTTAAGACAGTCTTCAGGCGCGAGCGTCTGTTTAAATTACGTTTTAAATATATTAACTTTTGCAAGCCTATATTGTTATATATATTAGGTTAGTGCTATATTTAACAGGATTTATAGTGCAAATATTCATTTTAGAGTAACTGCTTAAGGAAGTTTTCTCCGATCGTTGGATACAGAATATATCATACACAACATACACCTGCTCTGTAAAGTACTGATTTACTTGTGTGAATGTGTTTGTCTGATATTTACATAGTAATTACTAGATAATAGTGCAACTATAGCGTACATATGCTTTTGGGTTTAAAATGGATATGTATATCTACTCAAATAAAAGCCACTTAATTTCATTTCAATGCACGTGGAACTAATTACCGTCAATGTGTTATTGCGTGAGTACTTAATGATCTCAAGCAGGTTAGAACATGGAGGTATAAAATATTTTTATACCTCCATGGTTAGAATAAATGGTAATTCTGCTGACCTTGAATATTAACGCTCTAGAATGTTGAAAATGAAATCGCAGGAGCCGTTAATTCCAAATGAGTCTCTAGAGGTGGCGCTTTTGAAGGTAGCGTTTATTCACAGCGGAGCGTTTATTCGAACAAATACGATATTTTACGTTATTATAGATGCTTTACTTCATTTTTGATAGGGTCTTTAATTATTTCGACTAATTTGCTACGAACTGACGATGAAAAAGAAATTACTCAGATCTAGTCCCCGTTTAAACAAGAAACCAACCACGTCTTAAACTCAGTCTACTACAAATCATTAATATTTAAAGTTTATATAAATTCTCGTTAAAAAGTGCAGCAGATGTCGTCTAAATTGCTGTGACTTCCATTATGATGATCTCGAGATCTACAGCTTTAATTATATAGGGCCACTGGAAAACAAATTTGATGTACACGTTGTCATAGATCGATCTTGTATATGTATAATATCAGATTTTTAACTCAAATTTGAAACATGACCTTTGTACTGAGAATTTCAAGTGACTTCATGATAGGCATAATTCAATAGATCGTTCGTGTCACTGTAATTATTTACTTAGAGCAACCTGCAATCCAGGGGTCGCCAGGATTTGCCCGATGGGGTGGGGGGGGGGGGGGCGAGG